TCATAGAATAAATCTCTCTCCACACAGAAAACCAGGTGTCGGGGGAAGGGTTCTAGCTCAGCATTTTCCTGACATACTATTTTTTTTATTATTGGAATGTAACAGAAGGACTTAAGTCATTTGCATTTCCTGCTGGCCAGACATTGTCCTTTGCTGAATAATGGGCGCTTAGCTACATGTACAGCTCAAGACAGGAAACTGATGCTGGAGCTGCCCTGTCAAGCTGAGGAATTTCAGACAGATGATATAATCCGGAAGAGGAACGGTTCCCAAACGGTTTCTGGTCTGTCATTTCAGACAGAACCGTTTTAGAACCGGTTCCCTACCGGAATATATTTGTAATTTCACATACAAACACTTCTGTCCTGTCTAGGAAACGGGGCTGAAGCGTTTTACCTGTCAACCGCTTCCAAGTAGTCTTCAGTTTCCTCTCCTGGTTCCAATGCGCTTTCCCCCGCAGTTTTTCGCCCGCGCGGGCGATCTCCGGCTTTTTTTTCTTCAAACCGTTTGCGTTATAGCATTATAGCGCTATAAATAGAGTTTTGTAGGCAGTGCTCTTAAAATGTTCGCTTTATAGTGCTATAGCACTATAACACTATAATGGAACAGCAGTATATCAACCCCATTGGAATGCCTTGAATGTTTTGTTATAGTGCTATAGCGCTATAAAGCGAACATTTTTTTTAAAAGGTGGAGATCGCCCGCGCCAGCGAAAAATGGCGGGGGAAAAGCGGGGCAGTCTGAAATGGCAAACCGCTTCAGATCCAGCTCTTTACCGGAAGGGGAAAGCCATGTGTGAAATGGCAGCCCTATACCGGTTTACTCCATGATGGATCAAAAACAGCTTCAAAACGGGTTAAAAAGGGTAATGTGAAATTCCTCGCTGTGTGTCCTCTTCCCCTGTCTTTCTTCCCCTCTATTTTATGCACCCAGGTAGTGTGTTGTTGGCCTAGACCTGGATGTCCCAAACTAAGCAAGGTTGGCCCTGGCTAGTACTTAGATGGGAGACCACCAAGGACGTCCGCCACCACCAATGGCAAACCACCTCTGTTCATCTCTTACCTTGAAAACCTACAGAGTTGTCTTGTCATAAGTCAGCATGTGACTTGACGGCACTTTACACACAGAGAGTTTTGTTGATCTTCAGAAATGATTGCCTGCACCTAACCAAAAGTCTCTTCAAGCTTTCTAATTTTTACAGTTTTTAACACCTGTGTCTTGAGATTATTTATATTTCCCTGCTGAGAGACCAGATTCGGGATTTGTCCCTGTGCACCTCACCTTTTTATTCTTGTTCCTCTCTTTTCTGCATATTTATTGGCAAGACGTTTCAGGACTCTTTACCTGTAACAGCAAATCTGAATTGCTTGATGCACACCGTATGGTCATCTGCTGTGGTACGCCATGTTTGCCATTCAGAAGCACAGACAGAAGAATAAATTAATGGGCATCATTGCTTTGCATCCCGGACCTGGTTGGCTCGCACAATTAAGCTGCCACTTTTCCCATGGATTTGCTAACAGACAACATTTGCAAACTTGCTAGCTGTTCGGTACACCTCTGTTCAGCGTGTACATTTTGGTCTCCAGAGCAGAAAACGGTGGATATGCATGGCATCCTTGTATATCTCTGTAGAATAATAGACTCCCACACCGTCATTCCAAAGGGAATGGCTTGCATACCGTGTTTCCCCGAAAATAAGACACTCTTATATTTATTTTTTCTCAAGAAGACACACTAGGGCTTATACCACAAATGAATAGAAATCCTGCTAGGGCTTATTTTTTGGGTAGGTCTTATTTTTCGGGAAACAGGGTACCTCTTAGGACATGGATCTTAAGTCACTGGTTCTCTCAAAAGTAACGCAGGAAGCAACACTGAATTCTCATGGTGCTGTGTTAGCAAAGTTTGCAACTACAAATCACTGGCAAGAGGAAGTAAATTTGGCTTTGTTTAAATCTGTGTGAGCCCTCTGGGTTCTCAAAGGGTAATCTCAAAACTTGGCTTTTAGAGTTCTCTCTTTTCTTGTGTCCCCCCCTCCTCCCCCCCAAATGACAGCAGCTTGGCTGACAGTGATTTTGGAAAAGACAACCATGCATGAAGAGGAATCTGAGACATTCTCGTTAACTTCCTTATTGCAGCATCAGCCTTTCCTTTCCCACATGAAATACAGTCTCAGTTATTTCACCTGAGAGCTGGTTTGTTCTCCTTCATCTTCACGGCAGATCTGGTTCACATCCTTTGCTTCACCTTGAAGTCCGATCTAATCGTGGTCACATGGGGGCACCACATGTAATACAGAACTGCTTCTGCTTCTCTCTTGTTTCAGAATTAAAGCCACATTTCAGTCACTTTGTTTTATTGGCGTCACCATGCTTAGTACTGTAGCAGCATCTGTGTGAGTGAATGCCAGCTTAGAAGGCAAGATGGGATGAATTAAAATTGAAAGTGTAAAGGTTTGGGTTCTCCCCACGCCAACTAGAGTTCTGCAAGTTGGCAACAAACCTAGGCTGGCCACTGTAACTGAATGATACACATGTTTGTACGATATCCATACTGGCAAATGCCTGTTTGTCACATTCCCCCTTTTTGTAGGCAATGCTCTTAAAACATCTTGCGTGTACTCCAAAAAAAAACTTTAGTGGATGGAGAGACCCTGTTTCTCTCTCTCTCTCTCTGCGTGTGTTTGATGAGGTGTGCTGCATCTTTGCATTCATAGGTTAGAAACAGACAGAAAGAAAACATAGAGTAATACAGTCCAGCCAGAGTAAACCAGAGGTGTTTGAGTGTTCTTCTGTACTGGGAAACTGGTTATCTCTAAAACTTGTGTGTCATGTGATGAGGTGGGGTTAAGTAAGGTATGCTGACATATGCTTGAATTTGATTTTGATATAAAAAATGAATATTTAGGAGGCTTTCCCCCCTTCTTTTTATCTTTTTCAGAGGTGGTGCATGGGTGCACATATGCTTGCATAAGAACCATATAAAAATGCAGCAAAATCCAACCAAGTAAAGAATGTAAATAGAGTGTGTTTGTGAATAATTCCAATTATATAGGACTTGGCTGAGTCTCATATCTGACCATTTGTTTGCATTAGCCCTGAACTACTAAGTAGTAACAAAATGCATGGAAAGATAGCTAGGGGGCAGGGCTATTTCTGGGCCGGAACGCACAGGAACGGCGTTCTGGCTGGCTTCAGAGTTGGCCATGCCCACTATAGCCAAAACCTTTGCATGTGTGGCTACAGAGGGAAGGCCTGGAGAGCGACCCCCCCAGCGACTCCAAGGCAGGTGGGCCAGGGGGAGCTGGAAGGATCGGGGAGGCATTTAAATGCCTCGCTGTGCCTTCCCTGGCCTGTCCAAGGGCTGGCTTGCCCAGGCTCCCCACAGCTGCAGGGTGCCCGGGCAAGCCAAGGGAAGGCATGGGCCTGTGGCCTAATATGCTAATGAGCTGTGCTGTCAGGGGTGTGACCTAATATGCTAATGAGTTTCTGATGTTGGGTGTGGCCTTTTATGCTGATGAGTTCCTGCTGGGCTTTTTCTACACAAAAAAAAGCCCTGGCTAGGGGTAATATTTTAACCGCTGCAAAACTGCACCTCCCAGTCCCAGCCTGGAAAGGCAGTCCAGAGGGATGCTATGATTGATGGTATCAAAAGCTCGGAGAATCAACAGAGTTCCATTCCCATTGTCCATCTCCCTGCACATGTGATCCACCAGGGCAAATGTGGTGGTTTCAGTCCCATAACCAGGCCTGAAACCAGACTGGACCATAAGAACATAAGAAGAGCCCTGCTGGATCAAAGCAGGTGGCATCCATCTAGACCAGCATCTTGTCTCACACAGTGGCCAACCAGTTCTTCTGGAGGGCCAACAACAGGGCATGGAGGCCGAGATCTTCCCCTAGTGTTGCCTCCTTGCACTAGGATTCAGAGGTTGACTGCCTCTGAATGTGCAGGTTCCCATTAGTCTCCATGGCTAGTAGCCACTTACAGACTTATCCTCCATGAATCTATCTAATCCCCTTTTATAGCTGTCTATGCCTGTGGCCATCACTACATCCTCTGCAAAGGATTCCCCATTTTAATCACTTTCTGTGTAAAGAAGTATTTCCTTTTGTCCATCTTGAATCTACTGCCCATTCGCATCATTGGCTATCCTCGAGTTCTAGTATTTTGGGAGAGGGGGGAAAATTATCTTTGTCAACTCTCAATTTGATAAGCCTTTATCATGTTCCCCCCTAGTCGTCTCTTTTCTATTAAAACATTGGAAAGGATCCAGACAGTCCCCTTCATCCAGGAAGGCTTGAAATTGTCCAGCCATAACCGGTTGAATAGCCTTTCTCAAGAATGGAACATTTGAGACTGGTTGGTGGTTATTGAAAGCTTCTGCGTCCAAGGTGGACTTCTTTAGTAGTGGACCCTCCATCAAGGCTGGGGTGACCACCTTCTCTCTCTCGAGGTGGCATTAACTATTAGAACAATCCTAGTTAGCACCAATGTAGGCACAATGCTACGCCATGGAAGAGAAAGGGTGCGTTCAGACGGGGCGTTTCAGCCGGCATAAACTGTACCGGTTGGAACCGGTGCAGTTTATGCCAGCTGAAACGCGATCACACTCACCTCCTGACTGCGCAGCACATTGCAATACGCCTGTCCACACACAGCGGGCGTCGGCGGTTTGTTTGTGTTTTTTTTTAACTTAATTTGCGCATGCGCATAGGCAGCCATCCACAGAATGGCGATCTTCGCGCATGCGCAAAAAACCCTGTCTTACATTTAAACTTTAAAGGTAAGGACTTACCTTTAAAGTTTAAAGAGCAAAGTAGCCTCCCTGAGGTCCCAGACGCCTCCGAAACGCTAAACTAAGGCCCTTTTCTTTTTGTTTTTTTAAACAAACGCCAGGGCGAAGCTTCGCCCAAGCGCATATCGCCGACCTCTAAAAAAAATGGCGGGCGAAAATCGGAAGCCTCAGGCTTCCGGACGGAAGGGGCTCTGCAACGTTGGAGAGCGATCAGACGGGGGTAAAGCGATTACAACCGTTGTACTCAGGATACCACCACTTGGGGACCTAGTGGCAGAATACAATGGTGTAAATCTCTTTGCAGCGGTTAGGGATGGGAGGCAGATGTTCGCCGTGTGGACGCCGGTAAGTACACCGATTCCAACCGGCACCTATTCCGTTGCAAATGTCCCGTCTGAACGCACCCAAAGAGTTCTAGAGACCATGGTCAGGAGATTGACAGAGCCATCCTGTCTTCAATTGACTTTTTTTTTTTTTGCTATCAAATCACAGCTGATTTATGGCAACCCTGTGGAATTTTCAAGGCAAGAGACATTCAGAGGTGGTTGGCCATTACCTGCCTCTTGAGCCATGTGAGCCTGGACTGCCTTGGTGGTGGTCTCCCATCCAAGTACTAACCAGGGCTGACCCTGCTTAGCTTCTGAGATCTGATGAGATCGGGTCAGGCTGGGCCATCCAGGTCAGGGCTCAATGGATTTAGAAGGGTATCGTTCTGCTCCGGATTGCACCGTGGGATTGTTAAGACTGTACATTTGACTGTGCACTGTTAAAGGAGTCGGGGCTTCTGGCTCAGTTCTGCCTGTAAACACCAGGTGTTTTTGAACTGCCACTTTCCCTCAGGCCACTTTCGAGTTCCCACGGAAGCTTTGCTTGAAGAAGATGTGAATAATGCCTGATTCAAAAGGTTGTGCTAAGCATTGTTCTCATTTTATGTTCCCCCCTATAAATCACGGAAAGCTCATAAAGCTAGGTAACAATGACGGGTTTTCCATCCCAAGCGGCACAGTTTCTTCCCATGCCCCATCTTACGCCACCCTCTTTTCCTTTTCCCCTCGGCTCTTCAGAACGGCCTGTCTCCGTTGCACATGGCGACGCAGGGGGACCACCTCAACTGCGTCCAGCTTCTGATCGAGCACAACGTGCCGGTGGACGACGTCACCAACGACTACCTAACAGCACTGCACGTCGCGGCTCACTGTGGCCATTACAAAGTTGCAAAGGTTCTGTTGGACAAGAAAGCCAACCCTAATGCCAAAGCACTGGTGAGTCTGCACAGAAGGGCTGCCGTTTGCCGTCGGCAAAAGCTCCCAGTGCCTCCTTGAGAATCCGGGAGGGGAGAGGCTATCGGGACTGCTCCTCATTGGCCTTCAGAAAAGAGGCTTTGGCATGCCGTTCTCATTAGCAAGTTTCTGGAGTTTCCCGTACCATCAGGGTATGTCAAGCCATGTCTGAGTCAGGGTATGTCAAGCCATGTCTGAGTCAGGGTATGTCAAGCCATGTCTGAGTCAGGGTATGTCAAGCCATGTCTGAGTCGCATGGAAGAAAAGGATTTGTGCCAGTTGGTCAGCCAATACTAGTATCTAGTAAAGTGGATCTGATTTTTTTTTGGAAAGGCTTGTTGTTGATTGGTGGGAAAAGGGTAAATATGGCCTTAACTCTGCAACAGAGAATTAAGACTCTCTGTGTTTGGGAAAAAGACATGAAATGGTGGCTTTTCAAATGTGAAGGGGGGAATGTTTGGGCCGAAGACTTCTGACGTTTGCAAAGCAAGAATTAAATTGTGAGGGGGCGGGGACACAAGCTTGTGCATGAATGAGAAAAATATCGATCTAGTGACTTCTGCCAAAGAAAAAGAACAAACTTTCCTTTTTTGCAAGCCTTGCCTTTGAGGAGGTAATGGGAAGGGGATTAGTTTTTATTCTACATAACAGATTGTGTGTGAATCCGTAGTGAACCCTTCCAAATGGAGTGTTTTGTTTAGCCTTTCTTTCCTTCGTTGCATTAGCCGCCTGCTTGGGTGGGTTGGAAATTTAGGGTACTGGTTTTTCTAGGGTTTGTGCATATGCAAAGTTCTATTTTATCAGTCTCAACTCTCAAACTGATATTGGGTTTTTTTTAAATCACATACAACTGGACTGCTCCAGCATGCTTTGGGAAGCTGTAAATTTTCTCATCTCCTGATCCAACATCTAGGATTATCTGCCTTGGATCCTGGGACATGCATGCCATACTATCTGCATGCTGATCCTGACTCCCTGAGTACAGTCCAAAGCTGTTAGTAGGAGACTCAAGACTGCCCTGTTTGTCCCAAAGCTGTTACGTAGTAGGAGACTCAAGACTGCCCTGTTTGTGCACACTTATCTGAGCACAAGTGGCACTTACTTCTGAGTAAAAAGGTGTTGCCATAGATCTAGAGGTACCTAGCATGGATGATACCTTCCAAATCTGTGTAACCTCACCCCCAACAAAAAGTTACACATTGTATTATATCATTTGTTTAAAAGACCGTTTTAATAGCTTCGTAGTTCCTTATAGGAGCTGCGGTGGCTCAAGTGGTTAAGACGCTGAACTGCAGGCTGTGGAAGATCAGTAGTTCAGCAGTTCGAGACCCGGGTGCCGCGTGACGGAGTGAGCTCCCGTCTCTGGCCCCAGCTCCTGCCAACCTAGCAGTTCAAAAGCAAGAAATTACAAGTAGATAAATAGGGACCACTTCAGTGGGAAGGGAACAGCGTTCCGTGCGCCTTGGTGTTTAGTCATGTCGGCCACATGACCACGGAAACGTCTTCGGACAGCGCTGGCTCTTCGGCTTTGAAACGGAGATGAGCACCGCAACCCTAGAGTCGGACTCGACTGGCTTTCAAGCAAGGAAACCCTTACCTTTAGTTCCTTATATTCCTGCAGCAAAATTTAAGGTGTGTTGTGTTTCATGCCCAGGTTGGCTGCCCAAACTCTTGAGATGGGTAGTGTGCTTTTACACCAAGTTATCTGCACACTGAGCTTATGTCTCTGAGTAGTGGCCAGAGCTGCTAGTAGGAGACTCAAGGCTTTTAGTTCCCGTTTTAGAAACGTTGCAGCGGGAGGTGGTGAGGACGCAGAGAAGGAGGGGAATGGCACTGAACTGGCGGCACAATGTCACTTCTGCCAAATTAGGGTTGCCAACCCCCCCGGTTTTCCTGGGGTTCCCCGTTTTGGGGGGTCTACCTGCTGCCGGCCAGATGGCCGGCGGGGGAACCCCCGCCCTCAACACCCACAGCCACCCATCTCTCTCCCTTTAAGTGTGTGGAACCCGTGTTTCCTACGCAAGCTTGCAGGGAAATGCCAGCTTCGAGCTCTTAAAAGGGAAATGCGGCTGCTCTTAAAGGGGAAACGCCGGCTCCTGCATTTAAAAGGGAAACGCTGGCTCCTTTAAGTGCAGGGAACTGCCGTTTCTGGAGATCCGGCGCACGGGCGGGGGGGGCGGCGGACGTCCCCAACCTGATGTCATCATGTCGGGGATGCCCCGCCCCCTCCAGGAACGCCCCCAAAGTCCCCCGCTGGGGGTGGAAGATGGACTTGGCAACCCTACGCCAAATACTGGAAGTGACATCGCTTCACTGGCGTACCATTGAGGTGACACTCTAGGATTTGGTTTTACCATAGAGTTTTGCCCAAATCCTAGAGCGCCGTCATGCCGCATCAACAACAGGGCAGTGATGTGATGTCACTTCCAGGTATTTGCCACCAGAACAGTGCCATTAAAAAATCTCCCTCCCGTGGCCCTCAGCATGCTGTTGGGCAACAAACAGGGAGAGCAAGACGTCTCCCTGAATGTTGCTAAAGTGAAACTCGAAGGGAACGGGGGCGGGGATCTGTTTCACGGGCAACCTCCGGACATTTCAAGGGAAGTGAAAATAGCTGCAAGAAGCCTAGTCAAACTTCTCGGGGTCTGGTTCCATTTGCTGAGACTTCGGAACTCTTTTTCTCTCTCCTCCTGATCCGTACCTTGAATAATAATAGTAGAAAAGAAATTAAAGAAATCCACTAAGAAGAGGCAACGAATGGAACTACCTGTTTTGACTCAGCTCGAAGAGGCAGTGGCCCTGATCATGTTTTACGAAAGCGTATGGTACTTCATTCTTCCTGTGAGTCAGGTAGCTAATCTCCATCAGATCAGAGGCCCAATTCTGCCAGCTGTTTTTAAAACAAGCACACAATGCTGCTTTGATATGTATACAGGTTGGCATCAACATCCAAGAAAATGCTGTGAGCAGATCTTTGATGTTCAGGACAGTTTGTTTTCTTGCTTCTTTCCAACATTTCACTTGCAACGAAATGGCAGCTTAGCCGTTTGCTGTTACTTGATGGGTGCAAATGCCCTTTTTTCCTTCAGTGTACTGCTTATCATTAACGTTCCATCCAGCAAAGCTGAACTAGAATAAAAGTTAGGTGCTGTGGAATAGTTTTAGGAGACAGCAGGCGGCAGGGAAGATAGTTTGGAGTAGTTGCGTCTCGCCATTCATGCTTATCAAAGGTCCTTGAAAGCCCTTTCTGAATTTTGCAGAACGGTTTCACACCTCTCCACATTGCCTGCAAAAAGAACAGAATTAAAGTTATGGAACTTCTGTTGAAGCACGGGGCATCGATTCAAGCTGTCACTGAGGTAAGGTGCATTGATTGCGCACACTGTTATGTTTTCAGTAAATAAACACTGGGAGCACTGGGAGGTGGGGATGCTAAAGAGAAGCTGGGCAGCCTTTTCCATTGCTTGTTAACTTTTCCTTATGCCAGTGGTTGTCAAAGTTTCTGCTTTCAGAGATCCTTTACTCTTGCCTGCCTGTTGCAGATAGTGGACTGTGTTATGAGTCACGGAACCATATTGTCTGCTGTTAGGTTCTAGTAGAGTCACAGGACCATATTGGCTGCTGTTAGGTTCATCAAGAAGAGGGACTGTGGCTCAGTGGTAGAGCATCCACTTGGCATGCAGAAGGTCTCAGGTTCAATCCCCGACATTCTCCACCTAAAAGGATCATGATGTAGAAGACTTGGACCAGAGAGTCGCTGGCCAGTAGGGGTGTGCAAGAATTTTTTTTTTGTATTATTCAGATTTGGATATATTGGAGCCGAATAATATTGGTATTCCTGAATATTCCCAAATACCGATATTGGCACTGTATTCAGATTCAAGAAATATTCAGGAATCCCGAATATATTCATCTCCATTATACCCTATGGGCCATTATAGTCAGTGGCACAATCTCATAGGGTATATTCAGTGGGTTGGGCGGGGGAGGGGTTTTAGGTAGGGGCACCAAATTTGCAGTGTTGCTGTTGGAGCCTCTCCCCAAAAGAACCCCCAAGATGATTGAGAGGTGATATGATAACCATCTTCAAGTACCGTCATATAGAGGATGATGTTGTTTTCTGTTGCCCAGATGGTTAGTCCAGAACCAAAGGGTTGAAATTAAATCAAAAGAATTTTTGGCTGAACATTAGGAAGAACTTCCTCAGTGGAACAGACGTCCTCCTCAGGAAGTGGTGGGCTCTCCTTCTTTGGCTAGATGGCCATCTGACAGCAATGCTGATTCTTTGAACTTAGACAGGTCATGAGGGGGCGGGCAGGAAGGGTTGAATCAGTGCTGAGATATTGTGGCCCTTTCTTATACACCCAGAAAAATGCTGATCACCACTTTGGGGTTAGGAAGCAATTTTCTCTAGGTCAATTTGGCCAGGGATCCTGGAGGTTTTTTCTTTGCCCTCTTCTGGGTATAGCGCTGGGGTCACTGGGTGTGGAGGGGGGGAGGTATTTGTGAATTCTCTGCATTGTGCAGGGGGTTGGACTAGAATGATCCTGGTGGTCCCTTCCAACTCTATGATTCTAAAAAGATTGGACCAGGGGGTCCAATTCTATGGGCACCCAAAGAGGGTGTGCCCATCTTCCATTGTTTCCAGTGGTGGGGGGAAAGTTAGCAAGGTAGGCAAGCCCAGCAGTCAGATTCTCCTAGAGACTCTCTGCAGTGGAAAGTGAAGTGTGGGGAGGGGGCATGTTTTCAAGGTCAGCAGCAGAATTAGTGCAGTGTCCCCAGCAGAAATAGTGACACTGTGATAGTCCTGCCAACCCACAGGACGAAGGTCAAATCTGAGAATATCTGAATTACAACCTGGGGGAGGGGCATTTTTGCAGTTACAGAAGAACCAGTGCAATGTACTAGTGCCCAGCAGCAGAAGCCAGTTAACCTACTAGTGACCAGCAGCACAATACACAACCTACGAGTGCCCAGCAGCCGAACCCACTGCCGTCATGGCTAAAACCAGCTCAATGAGACTGAGGTCAAGCATTACAGAATCACACTGCAAGTTATACCTCAAACCCCCTCCCCGCCAGACCACTGATTATACACTAAGAGATTTGCCATTGACTGTAATGGTCCCATAGAGTGTAATGGAGCCAAATAATAGCTGAATAAAGCCGAATAGTATTTGGAAATCTCTATTCGTCTACCGAAGAGATGCTCTGTTTTGGTACTCAGCTGAATGAATACCCAAATAATACTGATAAGGTGTTATTTGGGTATTTATTTGGGTCAGTATATACTGAATGCATGCCCCTAGCTGCCAGTATTAGGAGACAATACTGACCTGGATGGACCTGTGGTCTGATTCACTATAAGACAGCTTCATTTGTGTTCATCATCACCCTGGGCGAACAGATGGTGTTCTCTAGAACAAACACTGTGCCTCCTTTGCAGCTGTGCATTGTAAGGGAGGCGGTGGGAAAACCATATTTCGGGGGGAACCTGTCAAACATTACTGGTCTTACTGCAGAAGTCCCAGCAAGGTCCTGAGAAAGCCAAGGTTCCCTGGAATACAGTTTGAAAGCCACAGTCATGAGACCTCTTTGCAGTTGGACCAAGAGTAGTATTGACCTACACGTGTTGTCTTAAGGCATCTCCAGTGTCCCAGAAAATACAGCACCTTCTTTCACACTATAGCTACAAAGTGTGCCTTGTTTTTTAAAATGAGAGCAGATGTAATACTGAAAAAGCTCATACAAAATTACTCTGCTGTAACCTTCCATATGAAAAGACTGGCCTCATTCATACTAAATACTGGTTTCCGATCAGGGTGCACCAATGATGAGGGTTAAATAAGCAAGTGTGTTATGCTGTGGGTCACATTCCTACTAAGGTGGGAATAAATGTAATATTCATCATTTAAACATTACTCTCAGGGATTGTCATTATATTATCTGGCTTGGATTAAAGCATTTCTCTACAAAGTAAATGTTTTAAAATCTGAGGTAGGATCTACTCTACTTCGGCTTATCCAGGCAGATAAACATTATAGCTAATGGAATCCACTATTGGAAGAGAAAATGAAATGCCTAGGAATAACAAATGATATAATTGAGAATACAGAAAGTAAAGACATTATAAGACAAATTTTAAAATGTGCAAGGAAGTTGGATGCTACAAGTACGTCTAATCAAGGCACGCAAGATATGTTCAACACTCCATTTGGGAATTGCCCTCAGTTGACAGTCCCAAAACTAAGTAGAGCTTTTACTTTGGCAAGACTGCACGTTCTTCCCTCGGCAGTTTTGGAGGGCAGGTATAATAGGGTATCATACTCTAATAGAACATGCAAGTGCTCCTATGATAAAATCGAAACCATTAAAGATATGTTTATGGAGTGCCCTATATTCAGTGAGTTGAGAGCTAATATAGTCACCCCTTTACTTAAAGATACGAAATTGCTAAATGTGCGAGCCCTGGTGTCATGGCTGCTACCGAATACAAATGATCATGTCACCCTCTCAGTGGAAAAATTCATAAGTGCAATAATCAAATATAAGAGAAATAATACTGAGTAAGGTCTTTGTAAATATTTTTGGTCCTAATTTCTGCTTAAGGTGATAGCCATATAAGCAGAGACAGACAGAGAGACAGACAGATATAGATATTATCTGGTCTTTGTTTCCATAACGCTTTTTCAGCTTGTCCTCATTCTGGTTATGTTCCTAACTGTAAAATACTTTGGAAACAATTCTTCTTATGATGTGTCATTAAATTGAATAATGAATCCTAAATAAATAAAGTGCGACTAACATTTGCTACCATTAGGCCCCTGCCACACGGCAGAAAAAAACACGGCCAAAGTGCGGCTATTCAGAGCCGCACCAAAAAAGACACGCGGCGGCGGGATCACACAGATCCCCCGAGCCGCCGTGCCGTTGCTCCCCGGCACGATCAGATGCCGGGGAGGAAGCCACCGACGGGAGACCGAGGCAGCCAGCTGTGCATGTGTGTGCATGTGCAGTTCGGCTGGGAGCCTCGGATGCGCCGGCAGAAGGACGCGCCGGCAATCCCACGGCCGCACTTGCCACGGCCTTTCTGCTAAGTCCACCTCTGTAGGTGGTTTATTTTAACAGTGGAATTTCGGCCTGAAGTGCCGGATCGGGGACAGGTGTGCGCCGCTTCCCAGATGTTGCGGTGAGATCGCGCCCGTTTGCTGCGCCCCCGATCCGTCCCTCTCCCGGCCCAAAACCTTCCGTGTGACCGGGGCCTTAGAATAGCAAAGGTGAGGTCTTTATGCCGCTTCCTTCAGTTACTGGGATCGTTTGCTGGTTTGCCATGAGCTAACCAAGATGGGTGGGGTAGCAGACAGTGTAGCAAGAAACTTGGGAAGTCCAAGGTGTGCCAGTTAACTTTCGGGCATCGGTCATAAATTCTACCAGCTTTTCTAAGGCATTGCACTCATTTGAGCTACACTGAAGCCAGTGTATGCCCTACGTTAAGAAGTAAAATTCTGAGTTATCCTTACAAGGAAAGGATGAATTCTGCACCCTTTGCAAATCAGCATCTTGGTGGACATTTTGCATCATTCGTCCCACGTTTTCTGCTCACGTGGAGGGCCGAGGAGGCCTGCTGGGTAGAAATCCTATTTAGCCGAACTTTTATCACCTTGAGGCCTAGAAACCTGCTTTTTAAGAAAGAGGGAAGCAGAGATGCTCAGGAAGCTGGATTTTTATATTTGCATGAAAGTAGTCATTAGCTGTCTGCCTGACTGTCAGTCTGTCCAGCACCACTCCTGAGTTAACGACATTGCATGAAAGCATTAATTTGGAGGTTGTGCAGGACAGGGCTTGTCTGGCACTTAAGTCAGGAACAAAGCGGAAATCTCAGTTAAAGAAAACAGAATTAGCAAGCTTAGTTCCAAATCAGTGTGTTTACAGCCAGTAAATGCAGGGTTCAGAACCCCAAATTGTTAACAGTTTTCCTGAGTTAAGGTCTGATAGCCCAGCTTCACCGTCGCGTACTGCACCACCAGTTCAACCCCTATTCATTTCTCTTCTTTGTTTTTGTTTTAGTCGGGTCTGACACCGATCCATGTTGCTGCCTTCATGGGACATGTAAATATCGTTTCACAGCTGATGCACCATGGATCATCGCCCAATACAACCAATGTGGTAAGCACCAGTTTCAGCCTTGGCTCTCGGCAAGATAGAACCTCCAAGGATAACAGACCTGCGAGAGTCTCTCAATGCTGCCTGGAATGCCACTCATACTCACAGTGTCTGCATACTTGTTCTTTGTCAAAGGTCCTTTACCAGAAAGAGAGTGCAGCAGAAACTGGAGGCACCATTTCATTGCATAGGATACTCACAGTCCATGTTGGGGATGGGTAGTGGCTCAGTGGTAGGCATCTGCTTGGCATGCAGAAGGTCCCAGGTTCAATCCCTGACATCTCCAGTCAGATGGATCAGGTAGTAGGTGATATGAATGACCCCAACCTGAGACCCGGGAGACCTGCTGGCAGTCTGAGTAGTCAGTGCTGGACTTGATGGACCGATCGTCTGATTCAGTAGGAGGCAGCTTCGTGCATCCATGTGTCGAGCCCTCCTGAGCCACATTGCTAACATGTTCTTGCATAAGTTCTTCAAGGTAATAAACAGTATTTTTGCACTAAGAACATAAGAACATAAGAGATGCCAATGTTGGATCAGGCCAAAGGCCCATCCAGTCCAACACTCTGTATCACACAGTGGCCAGAAATACCAGTGCCATCAGGAGGTCCAGCAATGGGGCCAGGACACTAGGAGCCCTCCCACTTTTGACCCCCCCAAGCACCAAGAAGACAGAGCATCACTTGCCCCAGAGTCACTATCTATACCTTGCGGCTAATAGCCACTGATGGACCTCTGCTCCATATGCTTATCTAATTCCCTTTTGAAGCCGTCCATGCTTGTAGCCGCCACCACTTCCTGTGGCAGTGAATTCCAAGTGTTAATCACTCTTTGGGTGAAGAAGTACTTCCTCTTATCCGTTCTAACCTGACCGCTCAGCAATTTCATGGAGTGCCCACGAGTTCTTGTATTGTGAGAAAGGGTACCTCTTTCTCTACCTGCTCTTTCCCATGCATAATCTTATAATCCTCAATCATGTCACCCCTCAGTCGTCGTTTCTCCAAGCTAAAGAGCCCTAAGCGCCTTAACCTTTCCTCATAGGGAAAGTGTTCCAACCCCTTTATCATTCGAGTTGCCCTTTTCTGCACTTTTTCCAAAGCTATAATATCCTTTTTAAGGTGTGGTGACCAGAATTGCACACAGTAACCCAAATGAGGTCACACCATTGATTTATATAGGGGCATTATGATATTGCACTAGATATTTCTGAGAAGAAAGGGACCAGTCTCTCCCTGAGATACTTCCTACTGTCTTGGTGGTAGCCTGTAGTGACCACTAGAAAACTTGGGAAGCTGCCATCTGGACAAGCCCTGACATTTAGGATCAGTGTGCGCATATGTGCACACCCAGAGGTCCATCAGTGGCTATTGGCCACAGGGTATAGATAGAAACTCTCAGTCTGGGGCAAGTGATGCTCTGTATTCTTGGTGCTTGGGGGGGTTAACAGTATCCTGGCCCCACTGCTGGACCTCCTGATGGCACCTGGTCTTTTTGGCCACTGTGTGACCGAGTGTTGGACTGGATGGGCCATTGGCCTGATCCAACATTGGCTTCTCTTATGTTCTTATAGTGGTTAGAGTACTGGATGAGAGCTTGTGAGACCTGGGTTCAAATCCCAACTCTGCCATGAAACCTACTGGGTGACCTTGGGCCAGATACTCTCTCCCTCAGCCTAGCCAACCTCACGGAGTTATTGTGAAGAGAAAATGGAGAAGGAGAGGACCATGTGCGTTGCCCGGAGTTCCACGGTGGAAGCGTGGGATAGAAATGCACTAAATGTATAAATCGATGCTCCTAGCTTTTGCTTAATGACTGTTGCTTACGTTATTTAGTGCAATTGGTACTCCGGCTTATTATGCTGTCCACAGAAGCAATGCTGCCTCTAGCAGAGGGATGATCTAAATGCCATGCCGCCCACAGTGGAGCCAGAATATTTCCAAATGGTGGCACTGTGTGTGGGCAGCTATGGGCTGGCCCAATGCCATTGGGTCTGTTCCTGCAACACACAGAATGCCCAGACATTTTCAGTGTGATAGTTACCTGCAGTGGAGCATTGCCACGTAGAAGTTGGGGTGGGGGTGCGGGTGCTTGGATGCATTGCATTGGAGTCAGCCCAAAGAACTATGGAAGCATGAAGTAGGAGAGAATTTTGAAAGGGCAAGGGATTTAAGTGCCAATGAGGGAGCTTAAATGGGGGTGAACAAGGGGAGAGGGTGTTGGAAGTGTTGTAGGGGTGCTTCAGAAGAAGTCAGTTCTGCTCCAGTGAAAACTCACGCTCCGATAAAAATATTTTGTGTCTTGAAGGTGTGGCAGTTGGGTGTAGTGGTTCAGGGCGCGGACCCTAATCTGGGAGAACCAGGTTTTATTTCCCCACTCCTCCACATGCAGCTGCTGGCATGACCTTGGGTCAGTTGTAAGTCATTTCAGAGCTGTTCTCTCAAGGGCAGTTCTCGAGAGAGCTCTCTCAGCCCCACCAACAACACAGGGTGTCTGTTGTGGAGAGGGGAAGCGAAGGGGGTTGTAAGCCGCTCTGAGACTCCTTCGGGTAGTGAAGGGCGGGGTATAAATCCCATCTCTTCTTTCTTCTTCTTCTACTGCCCCCCCCCCCGGAATTGTAAACAACACACTCGCTCTCGTTTCGGTAGCTTTGTTCATGGGAGTGAACGTAGAAGTGAATTATGCCCTTGCCACTGTGGCAGGTGCCACTCCAGGCTTCGCTGCCACCAGGAGGTAGCTTCTTGTAAAGAACCTGGCAACAGTTGACCAGTCCAGCTGCAGGGGGCTAAGTCAGCAAGGTTTCCAGAAGGCCCTGCTGATCTTGCAGGCCCTTGTGCAGGCATCCTTCTCAGGGAGGTGGGGTTGGCGGCAGTTCCCTGATTAGCACAAACCCAGGGGTCATTTCCTGCAGGAGCGCACAGGAGCGGAGCTCCGGCAGTAAAGAGTCCAGGGGGCGGGCAAATGCAACTAGTTCCACCCCCTGCTCCCAGCAGCCCATGAGTGTGAAGCCAAAGTTTTCTGTCTTCTCCAGCTTGTGTTCAGAAGGCTGAAGAGTTTTTCAGTTAGCTTCCCTTCTCCTCCTACTTCCATTTTTACTGCAACTTGGATCCCCCCCCATGAGGAAGAGCTCATCAATTATTGCTCCTTGTATCTGAGTTTTGAGAGACAAGCATTTGATTCCTTGAGTGACGTAATCCCCAGGAGGCTGGGGTGGGGGGGTGGCTTTTCCCTGTCGAGGCAGGCCCTGTTGATGAGGCAGACAGATTGCAACAGATTGTCAGGACATATTGGTGGCGTCCACCGCGGTCATGCTAGATTGCTTCCCTTTACCCAGAGGCCTTCTGGACGGGTGTTTAAAAAAAAACACGGAGATGCATTTGCAGCAAACTGAAATAGCTGTGGTTCAGAACATACATGCGTACACAGAGAGAGAGACTGAGCAGTTTTCAACTACACTTTATCATCGACTGTTCCTTGTAATATTTGCCATAACGAGAGGCAGGCCTGGCCACTAAGTATCGCTTTGACCATTTTGCTCTATAAAACTATTTCAGGCTATAGATTCCTGTAGCCCTTTCTGAACGATAAGCAGGATCTCCTGCTGTTAAAAAGAAAATCCTTGAAATACAAAAGATCTAGAAAGCGGCTCCCCTTCTTGAAACCAAAGTTTTTCTACCCATTTCCTTGTTGGTGCAGCCTTTTTGATTCAGGCTGTGGAGTTCTCCAATTCAATAGTGCTTTTAATTCTTGTCGTCATTTGTTTGGTTAAATTCGATCTGCCCAGCTGAGTGCTTGCTGGTTGACAACCGATGCTAGGATCGTTAGAGCGCAGTTGAAGGGAATCAGATGAGGAATATATATATATATATATATATATTATATGCATGTTTGAAAAAAAAAAGCTTGGCATAATTACTAATGTTGATCAACTGTGGAAGGTCCTTTAATCTGACGTGTTAACAAAACAAATGGAGTGCCCAATTTTCAAATGGACGTTACTGTCTTCGATAAAGAATGGTAAACACTGATGTGCCTGAGTAGTTAGAAAGGAGATCAATACTGGAATAAATTACTTTCCGAGGTCCAGAGCTGGAGGTCAGATATTGACTGGATGTCGCGTTCTGTTTCCAGGCTGCACCTTAGAAATATTCACAGGGTGATTATTTCCATCCCAACTCGGGTGTGCAGCTTTTGTGATTATTGATACAACATGTCTTGTTGAACTGCTTGTTTCCAGGGGGCTGGGGAAAGTTGGCACCGTGACGTCTGACGACATTTTCTCTTTGTAGAGGGGAGAGACGGCCCTACACATGGCTGCAAGAGCTGGCCAGTCAGAGGTTGTCCGGTACTTAGTACAGAACGGAGCTCAGGTAGAAGCAAAAGCCAAGGTAAGTTTGTATTCGATTGGCATTGCAAGAGCCGTGCGTTGGGGAGAGGGGCCATGGCTCAGTGGTAGAACATCTGTTTTGCATACCGAAGATCCCAGGTTCTACCCTCTTCTCTTCTGTTAAAAGGATCAGGTTATAGGTCTTCATGTGAGACCCTGGAGTGCTTCTGTAAGTCAGAGTAGTAGACAATACAGACCCTCACTTTAGGATAAGTTTATGTGTTCATTTGTGTCCTTGCAGTGCTACAAAGAACCACACAGAGCCACCATTTGACCAGGAGACCTGATGGGATAGATAAACCACTTGCGTGTTGTTTTTTTAAAACACATTTTATTAGGATATAATAAACATAGTCAAATATAGATCACAAACGTTTATACCAATACATCCTACCCTCCTCCCTTCCCCCCCGTGCGGCTTCCCACAGTGCTCCAACCTCCTGCTCAGTTCTTAAATCTTCTTCATAGCCCCCTTTTATTTTCATTACACAAATCTATAGGTAACTTACCCTTCCCTATTTTGGTTTTACATCTTGTTCTATTTTTTAATATCTATTAACTTTCAATAATTGTCAAAGCTAAATAAACCATCCCTTACATCCCAATTCTTTTCCAAATAATCTTTAAAATCTTTCCAGTCTGTAAAAAAGTCATCTGCTTCCAAATTGTTAAGTTTCCTTGTCGATTTGTCCATTTCAACCATGAAAAGTAATTTCTTAATCCAGTCCCCAACTTCAGGCACTTTATCCTGTTTCCAACATTGAGCATAAGTCATTCTGGCCTTTGTAATCATGTACCACATCAATGGCCTTTTTGCCATATTGACTTCTTCCATTTTAAGTCCCAAAAGTAAAATTTCCGGTTCTTTCTTAAATTTACATTTCACAATTTTTTTCCATTTCAGCATGTATTTCAGTCCAAAATGTTTTTGCTTTCTCACAAGTCCACCACATATGATAAAACGAGCCCTCTACCTTTTTACACTTCCTATAAACCACTTGCGTTGACCTCAGCAGAACTACCATTACTTTACTGTTTGCTGACACCAGTGAGCTCTTAGCGAGCCATGTTTTCCTATTCTGGTCAGATGGGTCAGTAAACAGGGTACTTTGGCAAGACCCGATGTGGGAAACTAGGAGGAGGAGTCAACCAGTCCCAGGGAGCGAGTACCTAGCAAGAGGTTCTAGGTACCAAGTCAGAGTCACTCTCTGCAGGGGGACCTCAGACAGGTTACAGTGCCATAGACTCCACCCTCCAACCCAGCGAAAGCAGGTGTTGCTCCATAAATAGTCAGAGCTCAAGGGACCTCTGTGGCAGTAAAAACAAGCCCCACCCTATAGCTCAGACCTAACAGAAATTTAAAGAGATATCACCCCAACTGGAAGCCCTGTGTCACGGAGTGGTGTCCCTGTACAACTTCTGTCTTTTAAACATGAACATACTGAAAAGATGGGACCTTGGATGCTTAATGATTTGGAAAGGACATGAACTCCAGGCCTCCAAGGCAGAAGCAGTCATCAAATTGTCCTAAGATTTCTGTCCTTCAAAACTAAGTGTCAGGCAGCGTTCTTGAAAATGTGGGTGTCTGAGGCAGACTATTCATATGCACACATATTTATGAGCCCACTCTGGCTTGGAGTCAGTGCCCTAGCTATTCTGAGGAGTGGTTCATAATTGCTATGTATGCATTTGTATGTATTTTATTTTATTTGAGCCAGTTTGGTATAGTGGTTAAGTGTGCAGACTCTAATTTGGGAGAACCAGGTTTGATTTCCCACTCCTCTGCTTGCTGCTGCTGGATTACTTTGGGCAAGCCATAGTTCTATCAGAGCTGTTCTTGAAAGAGCTCTCTCAGCCCCACCTACCTCACAGGCTGTCTGTTGTGGGGAGAGGAAGGGAAAGGAGTTTGTAAGCCATTCTGAGACTCCGAGTGAAGGGTGGGGTAAAATTGAACCTCCTCTTCCTCTTCTTCTTCATCTTCTTCTTCTTTTTCTTCTTCTATTTATCCCACCTTTCTCACTGAGAATCCAGGTGGATTACATGGTGTACAGAAATGTATTCAAATAGCAAAAGATGCTTAATAAGCAATGCAATAGAAGAAGAAGAAGAAGAGGAGGAGGAGGAGGAGGAGGAGGAGATTGGATTTATACCCCGCCCTTCATTACCCAGAGGTGTCTCAGAGCGGCTTACAAACTCCTTTCCCTTCCCCTCCCCACAACAGACACCCTGTAAAGTAGGTGGGGCTGAGAGAGCTCTTGACAGAAACTGCTCTTTTTCAAGGACAGCTCTGACAGAACTATGGCTTGCCCAAGGTCATCCAGCCAGGTGCAAGTGGAGGAGTGGGGAATCAAACCCGGTTCTCCCAGATTAGAGTCCACGCATTTAACCACTACACCAAACTGGACAAGGATTACAAATATTAGAAACAATGCAAGAAAAGCAGACATAATCTGTCAAGCAATGCAGAAAATTAAATTACACAAGTAGAAAACAATGCAGAGTCCGGTTTATGGCGGCGCACTGAGCAGTCACACCTCCCGGACCTCCCAGGGATGAGGCTGCGCTCTGGCCGAAGGAGGGGATGCGCAGGATCGTCACCCCCCCCCGAGACCCCGGCTGAAGGGGCTCTGGCCATGGGACTCTCGAGGGGTTGCCTCTTCGCCAGCGCGATGCCGGGGAATTGAGGTGCCTCTCCGTCCCGAAGGTTCTTCGTGCTATGAGACCAAATGGAACCAAGCGACGCTGACCGGGGCAAGCGCAGGAGGTCGAGCGAAAGAAACAGAGCTTAAACGAGGTCTGAGGACCAACTATGAACGTGAGTTCAATCTAAGCATTTAAATAAAAGGAAAAGAAAGCTCCCCAAACCCCCCACGGAACAGAAAGTGAGGCGAGCGGGGGAGGGACGCCTCCCAAACGCACGTACTTAAAGGCGAATCGGAGGGGGGGAGCGGAAGAAAAAGCGAATAAAACTGTTAAGAAAGACTTACCAAGGCGAGTTCGAGCGTACAAGCACATATTCAGAGACTTTTAAAATATCGGTTAAAGTAAACAATCCACAAAGATGGCGGGGAAGAGGATGGAGAAAGAGAAACTTTTAAAAGCAAAAGGGACTGAGAGCCCAAGACCGAAAGCAACCAGCGAGCTGGCAAAGACATTGGCGGAATCCATGTGCCCTCTGCTGGACCAGATGAATAATCTCAAGCAGCAGCTGTCAACAATGAATCAATGTATCATCACCCAGCAAACACAATTGAGTGAGACACTTAAAATGATGAATCAAACAGCTGAGAAGGTGAAAGAAGCGGACGCCATTGCACAAAAGGGGAAGAAGAAAGTACAAAAGCTGGAAAAGAAGCAAACTTCTACAGAAGATCAGCTGCTTGCTGAGCGATATGGATGTGGCCTACAGGTAATATTCAGGATATATAAAGAAAAACAATCTGCCTGGGGAAATAGTGATAAGATTCTCGAAGAGATGCGTGAGGGATGCAATCTTGAAAGGGGCATCTGGAGCTCCTTTGAAAGTTGGAGATAATGCTATCAGAATCCTAAAAGACATTCCATTTGAAATAAGACAAAGGAGAAAGAAGTACAAAGATTTAATGCTTTTTCTCCAGACAAACGCAATTGGATACAGATGGCTAACACTAGAAGGCGTGATCTTCAAAATCAAGGATAAAAAGGAAAAGATTGACTCTGTTCAGAAAGCACGGACATTTTTGAGAGTCCAGATGGGAGAGCCAGAGGAGGAAGAAAAAGAAGGGATGGACAGTAAGTCCAATGGTGAGCTGGACTTGGGGTCTTCCGGAGAGGACGCTCTATCAGAGAAAGGGGCAGCTGCCCCTAAAAGTCCTTATAAACTGCGGAAGAGACTGGGCAAGGGGAAAGGAAGGCTGAAGGACTCTGAATTGTGCCTTTGAAAAATGTTTTTTTATATACTAGATGCTTAGGGGTCTTTTGGGTTAACAGTGATAGTTAAGATATGAAAAAGATAATACTATAGTTGAATCAGTTCATAATGGGATTACTGTGATTGAGAGATAACGTGTGCCAAGCTAACCTGATGATCTCCTCTCTTAGTTTTTTAGATAGTAGTGGGTATCTTTCTTTATCCCTTAATGTAGTCCCCTTCCCTATTTCTGTTGTAGTTTGTAGTCTTTATAAAAATGCAATAAAAAAATCCCCTCCAGGGGGCCAAAAAAAGGAAAAGAAAACAATGCAGTGAAAGAAGGATAATACATACACAGGTAATACATACTAGTTTCACAATCTGACATGACAAAGAAACATAACCGAGAATAAGCTATCCAGATAGGGTAGCAAATAGGATCACTTCGAAACATATCTCACGGAAGTTCTGGGGTATTACTAATACTAGGTCGAGGGCAGCCAAACTTGCTCAGCGTAAGAGCCACATAGAATAAACATCAGATGTTTGAGAGCCGCAAAACAAGAACAAATATTACACACTCGTTTTTATTAATATATGCAAAATTTTCTTTTTATTAACATGAAATGTGACTACCAAAAATAAAAACCAAAGGGGTCAAAACAGATATTGATAATGATACTTTATTCGTCCAATGATATTTATTTGTTTGCTAATTATATTTATCTGTCTAAGAGGGAAGAGAGGGAAGAAAGAGAGAGAGAAACAAAGAAAGCAAATAGATGGGAGCAGTATTCCCTCTAAGCTGAGTTAATGTGAGCTAGCTCACAGTTTTTTAGCCTCCGGCTCACACGTTTTTGTCTTAGCTCAGAAAGGGATGGCTCCGGAGCAAACTAACTGATGCCATAGCCAAATCGCTCACTCACAACTTTAATGCCAGTAGCTCACAAAGTAGAATTTTTGCTCACAAGACTCTGCAGCTTAGAGGGAGCATTGGATGGGAGGGAGGGAGGGAGAGAGGGAGGGAGGGATGGAAAACGGCCCTGCCGGGAGCTGCAAAATATGTGTGAAACAGCCGCATGTGGCTCCCGAGCCACAGTTTGGCCACCCCTCCGCTAGGTTATACATCCAAGGCTCACATCAGCCAGTGCCTCCAGATCTGAATAAAAATCTGAAATCAGGGGGGCGGTAGGGCCAGCCCCTGGGTGGCTAGCTTGACCCGCTCAGACGGCAGCACAGTGAGAGCCTCACAAGAGCTAGAAGTCTTGCAAGTGTGAGGGGAGGTGGGAGGAGCATGCAGAGGGTGTTGGTGGGTATTAAATCCAGGGCTAATTTTGGGCAGGAACGCACAGGAACGGAGTTCCGGCTGGCTCCCAAGTTGGCCACGCCCAGCAGGAACTCATTAGCATAATAGGCCACACCCAACAACAGAAATCCATTAGGATTGGCTTCATTAGGGGTGTGGCCTAACATGCAAAGGAGTTCCTGCTACAAAAAAAGCCCTGGGTGTTGACAACAAACAAGGTAAACAGAATAACAAGCAAAAGGTGGGTGTGGCTGGATGACCACACTTCTGGTAACATGGGGGTGCATCCTAATGAGCTGTGCTGGCAGGTGCGTGGCCTAATATGCTAATGAGTTTCTGGTGTTGGGTGTGGCCTATTATGCTAATGAGTTCCTGCTGGGCTTTTACTACAAAAAGAGCCCTGGTTAAATCTATAGCAGCTTTGGGCCCGGGTGGCTCCTGGCAACCAAAGGGAGGAGGCTGCCAGGTGGGAGGCGGGGGAAGCGTAGGGGCCTGCAGAGCCTCCTCTACCCCCAGACTGAGGCCTTCCCTCAGTGGGCCTGAAAGCAGGGTGGGCGGAGCCACTAATTCACACACACACACACCCAGTGTAATACAGAAGGGACACAACAGGTTGTTGCGATATCCAGGCATCCCGAGTGACTCCCATTCTAGAATGTTGCTAGAAACATATGCTCACAGTCTACGGCTCCTTTCTTCTTCACGTTTAAGGATGACCAAACGCCACTGCACATCTCTGCGCGACTGGGGAAAGCTGATATAGTCCAGCTGCTGTTGCAACAAGGAGCGTCTCCAAATGCTGCCACGACCTCAGGATATACACCGTTGCATCTCTCGGCACGAGAAGGACACGAAGATGTAGCATCTGTCCTCTTGGACCACGGTGCCTCCTTAAGTATAACAACCAAGGTGAGGGGATTTTAGGCTCAGCTGGTGGACTCTGTGTGAGTAAGCTTTGATAGGCATGATGGCATGGCCGGTCTATACCCAGGTATACAGAAAGCGTCCCTCCCACCCCGTGAATATGATCAAAACCAAGTGACAACTTGGAACTGTAGCCAAAAAGCTCTGCTTCATTAAAGATCTTCCAAGTAAGGATGAGAGAACTGACTCTGATTTAGTGTCAAAGAGATGACACTTGCCAAGGTCTTTGTATGGTTTTCCCTTTCAGTCTGTGACAATTCCACAGCTGTAAAGAAATTCTGAGCAGAATGAGGTGAGTAGAACAAAGCAGTGGAATTCTAGATTGTACCACTTCAGACTGGATGTTAAAAGGCTTCCCAACTATGTTAAATCAGCATATTGGGGCTATGCTTCTTTCTCTCTCTCTCTCTCTACTAGGATATCACTCTCTCTCTCTCTCTCTCTCTCTCTCTCTCTCCTAGGATATCATGCAGAGAACTTTTTTTCTATAGGGAAACACTGAGAAACATGACACACACACAACACCCCTCTCCTAGTCTGAATTGGTACGACCCTGGCTTCTACCATCTCATTTGGCATTATGCTTAGAATGGCTTTATGAATCCTAGGAAGAGAAATTGTTGGGGGAAAAGAAAGAAGAAGCTATATCCAATGATTATTATAGTCCTCAATAGATTGCTTCAGATACTGGGACTTTGGTACCAGAAGCCACTAGTGCTTCTTTTGCTCGGAAGAG